AATATTTGCCTGAGATATATATATATATATATATATTTAATTGTTGCAAGAGAGATCTTCAAGGCAGGTTGGAGCACCTTTTTTAGGAATTGGTTTTACCAAGGCACATTTCCATTGGCTAGGAATTTGACTTAGTTCAAAAGAGTAATTGATGATGTGAGTTAGAGGATGTAAAATCCATGGAAGAGCAATTTGCAACATTTTACCTGATACTCCATCAAGGCCAGCAGAGTAAGACTTTTGTTTTGAAATGAGTTCACTAATCGTGTCAGTATATATTTACGGGATGATAAGAAAATTTTGAATTGTTATAATATTGAGATGAGAATTCGGATAGATACTCGACATCAGGAATTGATTGGGGAATACTTCCGATAAAGTATTGATTTATTAAACCTACGTCATTAAAAGGGTGTACGTTAGGTAAATCATTGTGGTACGTCATATTACTCCAGGATTTTATTTTTTTCCAGAATAAGGTCGAGTTACGGCCACATGAGGCCAGACTGTGACGGTAATATGCTCGTTTTTCTAGTATTATAGCAGAATTGTAGTAGTTTCTTAGTTGGCAATAATAATTTTTGTGTTCAAGTTTTAAAGTTTTTTTGTAACGATTTCACGCCTTCTGCTTTATTTGTTTTAGGAATTTCAAATTATCAGTAAACCAGGGATAGTTGTTGCGCATTATTTTTACCGTTATAACCGGAGCATGAACATCAAACAACGACAGTAAACAGCCGTTAAACCAATCTACCTTTTCATCTAGGCCAGAAATATCATAAATTTTATTCCAATTCATTTTAGCTGCATCATCGAAAAATAACTCAGAATTGAACTTCTTAAAAGATCGAACTCTTTTAAACTGAGGCAAGCACTTAGACAAATCTACCGCTAGTTCACATGAAATTATGTTGTGCTCTGATAGGCAACAATCATGAACGCAGCTATTATAGCAAAGAATATTAGGACTAATAAATATTAAATCTAATAACGATTCACTCGTAGAAGTAACACGTGTTGGAGAGTCAATTAATTGAGAGAAATTATAGTTATTCATGAGATTTAACAAATAATTTGAATCACGGTCATCTACAAGTAAATCTGCGTTAAAATCGCCAAGGAGAATAATGTTCACGTAGTTATTAATTGCTAGAAAATTAAAAAATATCTTCTAAGACAGCAAAACAAGAATAATGAATTTTTGGGGGTTTATAAATCACACCAATAAGGTAATTAAAATTTCTTTTTTCACAATGGTTTTGACAAATAGGTATTCTAAATCAGTTGGAATATTAATAGGTATATCAATAACTGTAAAGTTAAACATTGCTGGTATATATAATGCTAACCCAACTCCTCTAGATGGACGATCTTTACGTATCATATTATAATTAGTTAATTAGGAATAGAAATTATAGAGTCTAATATAAGTGGTTGAAGCCATGTCTCTGTTACGGCAAAAACAGAGAGGGGATTTTGAAGAACAAAGTTTCTAAAGATATCAAATTTGTTGACTAGAGATCTTACATTCGTAGGAAATAATATGAGCCTTTTACATTCTCTGTTAAGATTAAAATTATTATTATTAGTTTGTACACAATTTACGTAGTTTAAGAATTGAGATTGGTTTGGGGAAAATTTTGTTTCATACGCGGCAGGAAATATTTATTTACATACGTATTTGCTGGCCAGAAGTCAGGAGTCAGTAGAACAGTTTGATGTATGAGAGGAGCTCGTATTGTGAACACACTAGACGTACTTCTTTTGTTAAGATGTTCAGGTTTTTCGACAATAAAATTGGCTTCACTATCAAGTTCGTGTAGGACATCAAGAATATCTTGGACAGTTTGCGATGGACTTAGATTTGATACATAAATCCAGCAGTGTTTATCAACGGAGTGAAGTTTGGCTCTAGCCCCCGTAAGAGGATTCTGGTTGCAGGAAATAATTTTTTTCCTAGATTTTGTCTGAGTATTTCTTTGCTGATTGGATGAGACACGCAGATTAGATGCGACACCATGTTGTGTTGTGTCATTTTTATTATAGGTCCTGACATTTTGAGAAATATTGGGAAAGTTTTTAGGTAATTCAGAAGAAAGTTTTGTAGTTTCAACAGGGTGTTCATTGATATCATCAAGATGTTTCCCGGTTGCATCAAGATGTTTATTAAGATCTTCGTATTGTTCGAAAGGTTGCGAAAAAAGAGAACAAGCACCATTCTGACCATGATTATAACTTTCCACATCAGTGACATCTTGACGGTTTGAAGACTTTGGGCGCGCAGTATTATCAGCATCTGAGCTAACTGAACATTCATCTCCATCTAATAAAGTTTAGTTGGTTGTCGTCGTTGAAAAGTCTTATTCTTATTTATTAGTAGTTTCTTTTTGTTAACTATGCTCATTCATTAATAAGTCTGTACAAACTGTACATAATTAGAGAAAATGACAACATCCTGAAAAAGAACACGCAGACGATTACCTATCACGACGGAATTCCAATGGAACCAAGATCGGCGGACCACTGTCTAGAACCGCGTTCTTATAAGAACTGAAAAAACCACAGCGGAATGCGAAAATGGGAAAGAAAACCCGCGACCCTGGACAGTGGTTCGCCGGCCCTCGTTCTAATAGGACCTCGACGCAAGGAAAATTAAGTAAAAATGACTAATTACTACCATTTAAAATAATTCTTTACTCCAAAATGTTTAAACATCCAGTTAAAATTGTTTCAAGTCGATTGTTTCTGAAAAAAAACTCTTGACTTTTTACTTAAGATTTTTCAAACTTCACCTTTCGGTGCCAGTTTTTGGTTGCTATGTTTTTACACAACGTGAATTAAATGAATCTGATAGCATCTCTTACAGTGGCGCGAACAAAGCTTGGATAAAAGGTGAATTTACTTTGCAACTTTTGATAATACAACAGGAGTTTTTTTTATTGCTTATGCTCTCGGGAACCCCTCCAATTTTTTTGTCGGTGCATTTCGCGAACACCCTGTATAATCACATATGGTAAAAACTATAGTCAACATTTTCGTTATCTCAATTACGAGATTAACACAGGTATCAACAATACAGTTTTTCCTAATTCTCTTAAATTGTTGAAAGTTTTACCCATGTAATTATAAAAATGAAGACAAATATTGACAAAAAAATTTTTAACCGGTGTTACAGAAACAGCCCGGTTCTTATTAGAAAACAATAATATATTCCATAATGCGTAGTTTGGGTTTACAATTTAGCGCAGAACCACTTTAGCTGTGAACTCTGTTAGAAACAATCTCTTGGCTGCATTAATTTATTAATTGAAAAAACTCAAATACTTGCTACTCTTTTAATACATATTCCATTGTTTTTCTGGGTTCTTATTTGACAAATCGCAAACAGTTCGTTCTAGTTAATAATACAAGATATGGTCAAGAGACAGTTCGCAATGGAGTTCCACAAGGCTCCGTTTTGGGTCCTGTGCTTATTTTGATGTTTATCAACGATTTACATACTGCCTAATAATGAAACCTTAGAGATGTCCTCATTGCCACTTCCTCTAGGTAAAAGTTAAGAGGTGCTAAGTAAAGAAGTGTCCCCAGAGTCGCTGTGGGAGTGGTTCTCATTGCTGCTGTAGCACTGAGACACGCCGTTTCCGAAACGTGTTCAAGTTGCAAAGCAGTTGTTTTTTATTTGGCTCTGGGCCACCAGACTAAAGCTCCATAGCACAGCATCGGTTTGACTAGTGTTGGGTAGATCCAGAGGGCGATCTATAACCACGACCCTACGATATTACCAGAGAACCGAGCGTGCGTTTTCCTCTTTATCAGCTACATGGTTCTTCCAGTTTAGTCGCCAATCCATACACGTCCCAGGTCTTTGATTTCATCCTAAAGTTGAAGCATTCTATTAAATATTTTTGGTATCTGTAGTGTTCCAATTTTCCTTCTCCTAGTGAACAAGATTAATTTCGCCTTTTCACCGTTAACGAAGAAGGTGTGCTTGCCGGACCATTCGTCAACAACTATTGTTAAAAACCATTATGCACTAATTATACACAAAATTATAACACAGTTACATGGATGACGATATTAGATCTACATCGCTAAAGTTATTGCTTACATATCCCTCGGTGAAGTAAAATGATTTACTGAACAAATACGTTTTCGTTTTATTTTTTAATTCCACAGGAAAATTGTTCTATATGTATCTAACACTGTGCAATATTAATTACAATTAGAGCAATAATTCATTTCCTTACTTAATTTACTTAACCATACGCTATTTAAGCGAATGTTATTACTACGCACTAAATAATCATGTTGTGAGTTATTGCTAGCCAACATTAGACAGCCAACAGGGATATAATGTGTAGGACGGAGTGTGAGAGACCGGAGACTTCTATAGATTACATCCCGCTTTGTCATCGGACACACGGTGTCCCGGTATTGCCTTACGATGTTAGGCTAAAGTTTTCACGGAAGCCGTCTAGGTAACGGGGTGGAACAAGGACATTTCGTACTCCTACTCGTACACCTATCCGTATCCGGAAACGCGACTTGACACCGGATCTAAATATGGTTTGCACCGGTGGAAGGTGGCCAGGTACGAAAATGTCCTTAGAGTTCCTGGGAAGAACCTTAGACTCTGATGAGAATGCCAAAGGCTTATATTAAAAAAACACAATCTTTGTAGTGTCACATATTTTCATATAGAAAAATGATGAATGTCATGTAGCATTTAATAGGGGTCTGAGCTTCACAAAAATTCCACAAATTGAGTGAACAGCCCTCTAGTGTTATCCATTTATCAGATATTATTTATTCAGGACACGTAAAATAAATATTTCCATTGACACGAGAGCTTGGTCCTGCACCGACCATAAACCGCAATAAATATTCCGACCGTATAAAATTATTTTTCTTGCTCGTTGCTTTCAGACTTTACGACAAACATAATATTTCAGTAACGTCACTATTCTGATACAAAGTTGCGCGTTTTATAGACGACTTACCTCCCGACCTCTTCCAATGTCTTTCCGTGTATACTTCGTACGGGTGCGTAAATAGAGGTTGTCAGAAGTGGGATGCCCCAACCTATTATTAACATCCATCGCAACAGGCGCCTTTCGGATATAAAAGCTGACACCAACACGGTATGAAGATAGATGCCTTCGCACAACATCCACGAATAATTCGAGATTAGGAAAGTGAAGAGGACCACGTGCAGTACTCGACACCAGAACTGAAACGAGATTTATAGCCTGAGAATGCTGCTTTTGTTATTAGAGTTTGAAATATGCTAATAATAATTTGTGTTACAGACATTTTATGGCAGTGTTTTGCTGTTGTGTGTAACAGAGAGGAAGTGTATACTATCATATTCAAAATTAACTACTAACAACAGTAAAGACATCTTATATCGATTTTTGTATATATGTTACAGCTAATATCCGAAATACGTTATTATGCATAATAACTAGATATTTTAGGAATTATGCGTAATAACTAAACTTGTCAGTTATTATGCATAATAACCGGAAACATTAGGAATTATGCGTAATAACTGAATTTTTCAGTTATTATGCACAATAACGGAAACGTTTAGGTAATATTGATAATAACTAACAGAGGAACAGAAATTATGCATAATACCTGAAACATTAGTCATTAAGTATATTGCCTAATAGGCCAGAGCCGATAATTTTTGAGAACAAAAAAAATTAGAACAGGATGATACCCATTGGAAAAGGAAGAAAATATAACAAAAATAAAAGGAAAAATAATTTACGGGCGATCTGCGGTTGGGAAGTGGAAGAGGGTGAGCTTTCAAGGGCAGAAAATGGTTTATCACGATTTCCGGCAAAACTACAAGTCCTATCGGAAAAAGTTAAATGGCAAAGTTCTAGGTAATAAAAGGATCTACAACTTTTGTATTTAGACTTTTTTAAATAACCTCAAAATTTATGTGAAAAATGCAAATAACCGAGTTTTTGGTTTTTTATTTTTATCTCCCACAAAAAATTTTTTTTCACGAAATTTGGTGAAAACTTACCTATTTATGTCCCAAAATCACTGTAATTTTTTTGATTCAAAATATTTATTTTTCTCCCTTATTTTGATTTAATATCGAAAAACCACCCTAATTTTCAATCGAAAATTCTCACGTCAAAATGTCTGCTTTTTTAAAAAATCGCTGTGCTTTTTGTTCGTTGAAATCTCTACTTTCTGATAGTGTAAAAAAAGTATACATAACTCTGGCAAATTTTCACAGGAAATCCAAAAAAATTGGTCTAAAGAGTTTAGACAGTACTTCCCTCGCTGAAACTTGACGACTGCATGCCTATTGTGTTTTTTTTTCTCATTACATTTTTGCAGTGGGAATTTAAAAAAAAATTGCGATGACGTCATCAACATTTTTGCAAGGACACGTATATCAGTTGGGATAGATGTAGTGTAATACTAAGAATAAAATTATTATATTCTCAAATTTTCGGGAAAATGAATTGGGTCGTTTTGAATATTGATTTATAAAAATTGGTCTAAAGAGTTTAGACAGTACTTCCTTCGCTGTCGGAAACTTGACGACTGCATGCCTATTGTGTTTTTTTTCTCATTACATTTTTGTAGTGGGAATTTAAAAAAAAATTGTGATGACGTCATCAACAATTTTGCAAGAACACGTATATCAGTTGGGATAGATGTAGTGTAATACTAAGAATAAAATTATTGTATTCCCAAATTTTCGGGAAAATGAATTGGGTCGTTTTGAATATTGATTTCTTATAATCAATAAAGTAACGAAACAATTTACTTACGTATACCTACGTATCAGAGGCAACTGAAAATCGTGTATGTATAAACATTGTTAATTTAAGATGACAGGCGTAACAGCATACGTGAGAGCCAAACACAGAAACTGTAAACAAAACGACCGTCGGTTTTATTGCTTCGACTTCCGCTTATTATATAAAACATTGGGTTTTATTTTAATTCTTGACGGTGAAATTCACAATTGGTTGATTATAAACATGTCTATTTCACATTCGCGGAATCAAGTGAACGCATAAAACAAATGCAGGTCTGTAATGTTAAAGTCGATGTAAATAAGCGTGCTACCCTTATGTTTCAACCGAGTTTTTCCTTTAACAAATTTTGTGTCTACCAAATTGGGTTGGTTGGGGTGTAATACTAATAATAAGTGTTGCCTTTAATTTAATCAATAAAATAAATTGACTTCATTAATTTTTTTGAACCACCTCTTAAGAAAATCTAAAAAATATGAATGGAATGATAAATCACAAGTACAAACTCATCATATTTTTTGCCTTTTAGATAGGATTTATTCAGCAAAATTTAAGGGTGACGTCATCAATTTTTTTAGGAGGGATGAACAAATACATTTTGAACAAAAGTTTACCATGCTTATAATAACTTTAAAATATTCCCAAGATTTCAAAGCATTCGGTTTTGTAATTCCTGATTAAATCGATAAAATAAATTCACGCCTTCATTAATTTTTTTGAGTCACCCTGCATATGCAAATCCAAAAATATGAATGGAATGATAAATCACAAGTACAGACTCATCATATTTTGTACATTTTAGATACGATTTATTCGGCAAACTTTTGAGCTGACGTCATCAGTTTTTTGTAGAAGATAACCAAATATATTTTGACTAAAAATTTATTATGCTCTTTATAACCTTAAAACATCTGCAAGATTTCAAAGCATTCGGTTTTGTAGTTCCTGATTAAATCAATAAAATAAATTTACGCATTCATTAATTTTTTTGAGTCATCCTGTATATGCAAATCCAAAAAATATGAATGGAGTGATAGATCACAAGTACAGACTGATCATATTTTGTACATTTTAGATATGATTTATTCGGCAAATTTTCGAGCTGACGTCAACAAGTTTTTGGAGGGGATAAGCAAATATATTTTGACTAAACATTTATTATGCTCTTTATGACCTTAAAACATCTGCAAGATTTCAGAGTATTCGGTTTTGTAGTTCCTGATTAAATCAATAAAATATATTTACGCATTCATTAATTTTTTTGAGTCACCCTGTATATGCAAATCCAAAAAATATTAATGGAGTGATAGTTCACAAGTACAGACTCATCATATTTTGTACATTTTAGATATGATTTATTCCACAAACTTTTGAGCTGACGTCATCAAGTTTTTGGAGGGGATAAGCAAATATTTTTTGACTAAAGATTTATGATGCTCTTTATAGCCTTAAAACATCTGCAACATTTCAAAGCATTCTGGTTAGCAGATTAAAAATTAAATTTCAAAATGTTGTTTTATAATTTTGATTTTTTTTCCAAAAATCTGGACGTTTCGGGTGAAAAGTCGATTCAGAGTTGTAAACTACATGTGTAGGACTATGTTATTTTATACAATTGAAAACCCATTTACTATGTACAATTTTGAAGTGACGTCATCGCTTTAGTGGTGGGGATGATTCGACAAATTTTGGTTAGCGTTTTACCATCTACATGATATTCTTAATATAAGTACAAAATTTCACAACAATCGGTCGAGTACTTTCGGAGATTATCTGTCTAATAAAAATCCGTGACAACAGACGGACAGACGGACAGACGGACAGACGGACGGACAGACGGACAGACGGACAGACGGACAGACAGACGGAAATGGGAGACCTATTTCTTCGTCTTCTAGGGGTCATGAAAGATCGAGAAAACGTAAAAGTAGAGAGTCGGCCGACGGACTCGATTACAATACTTCCTTTGCTTACGCTCGGGAAGTAATAATCAATAAAATAACGAAACAATTTACTCACGTATACGTATCAGAGGCAACTGAAAATCGTGTATGTATAAACATTCTTAATTTAAGATGACAGGCGTAACAGCATACGTGAGAGTCAAACAGAGAAACTGTAAACGAAACGACCATCGGTTTTATTGCTTCGACTTCCGCTTATTATATAAAACTTTGGGTTTTATTTTAATTCTTGACGGTGAAATTCACAATTGGTTGATTATAAACATGTCTATTTCACATTGGCGGAACCAAGTGAACGCATAAAACAAGTGCAGGTCTGTAATGTTAAAGTCGATGTAAATAAGCGTGCTACCCTTATGTTTCAACCGAGTTTTTCCTTTAACAAATTTTGTGTCTACCAAATTGGGTTGGTTGGCGTGTAATACTAATAATAAGTGTTGCCTTTAATTTAATCAATAAAATAAATTGACTTCATTAGTTTTTTTGAACCACCTCTTAAGAAAATCTAAAAGATATGAATGGAATGATAAATCACAAGCACAAACTCATCATATTTTTTGCATTTTATATAGGATTTATTCAGCAAAATTTAAGGGTGACGTCATCAATTTTTTTAGGAGGGATGAACAAATACATTTTGAACAAAAGTTTACCATGCTTATAATAACTTTAAAATATTCCCAAGATTTCAAAGCATTCGGTTTTGTATTTCCTGATTAAATCGATAAAATAAATTCACGCCTTCATTAATTTTTTTGAGTCACCCTGCATATGCAAATCCAAAAATATGAATGGAATGATAAATCACAAGTACAGACTCATCATATTTTGTACATTTTAGATACGATTTATTCGGCAAACTTTTGAGCCGACGTCATCAGTTTTTTGTAGAAGATAACCAAATATATTTTGACTAAAAATTTATTATGCTCTTTATAACCTTAAAACATCTGCAAGATTTCAAAGCATTCGGTTTTGTAGTTCCTGATTAAATCAATAAAATAAATTTACGCATTCATTAATTTTTTTGAGTCACCTTGTATATGCAAATCGAAAAAATTTGAATGGAATGATTAATCACAAGAAGAGACTCACCATATTTTGTACATTTTAGATAGGATTTTTTCAGCAAAATTTTGTGGTGACGTCATAAATTTTTTAGGGGGGACGACCAAATACATTTTGATCAAAAATTTACCATGCTTATGATAATTTTAAAATATCTTCAAGATTTCGAAGCATTCGGTATTTTAGTTCCTGAGTAAATCAGTAAAATAAATTTACGCTTTCATTTATTTTCTTGAATCACCCTGTATATGCAAATCCAAAAAATATGAATGGAGTGATAGATCACAAGTACAGACTGATCATATTTTGTACATTTTAGATATGATTTATTCGGCAAATTTTCGAGCTGACGTCATCAAGTTTTTGGAGGGGATAAGCAAATATATTTTGACTAAACAATTATTATG